AACTTTGAAAACTATGGTATTAATTCTTTCAGCTTATATATTGATGGTCAACAAATACCTTCAAAAGCTTTGCAACCATCTTTTAATAATAGCATATTTACATCAGCATATCATACTCTATTCTCGGGAACTGGTATTCACTTTCTTAATGAAGGAAATGGAATCTCTTGTGAACAGTATGGCAAAGGTTACTGTCTATTAGCATTTGACTTAACTCCTGATTTATCAGCTAACTCATCAACTCATTGGAATCTCATAAAGCATGGTAGTGTAAGAATAGAAGTACGATTTGAATCCTCATTAATACAAACAATTAACTGTATAGTTTATGCTGAGTTTGATAATATTATTGAGATAGATAAAAACAGAAATGTTACTGTAGACTATAGTAGTTAAGGTTATAATATGTGTTGTGTGTTAGATTTTATGTGTTATGTGTAATGCATTTTGTGTGTATGTAACTATGTGAAACGTTATAAAATTAAATAAAACAAATTGTATGCAATATATTTTTTTTATTTCTTTATAAATCTTCTATTTAATCTAATACAAAACACTGTTCGAGTTGAAATTTTACATAAGCACACTGACTAAACCACTGAACATGCTGCTGCCAAGGATCATCATCATCTTCCCAATCTTTTAAACCACCACCACAATGGAAACACTTGGTCCCGTCTGCATGGCCAGTATAAAAGAAACCAGCTTCTGCAAGATCTTCAGGTTTCTGTCGCATAACTAGAGGCCAGTTTTCGAATCTAAGCAAACGGCTAGATTTTGAACTGAAGAATGGATATTCAGCTCTTGAGTACTGCATACTCTTCTCGTTTTCTTCTCCACTCAGTGTTGTAGTTTTGTTATTCAATGATGTGTTTTGTACACGTATGCCACACTCATCTCTTCCTTCCGCTCTTGTCTTCCTGTAATTGAAGTAAACAGAATCACATTCACTAATGATCAGCTAATGACTGTCATTGTTAAAAAAGTATTTTTTAACTTTTTCACTTTCTGCTATTGTCTTTGTTATATTGTATACGAGGGCGTTTGTGTTGTCGTAGATGCTATCCTTATTAGTCTTTACGTAATATTTAATTCTCGTGGAAGCATGTTTCCAATGATCAGTAGTTGGAATCTTGGATAGCTTCTTCATATCGTACATTTCAATTTTGATGAGATGCGTCGCTTGGTCTCCGTCGTCAGAATTAGTAGAAATGTATGATACACCATCTCTAGCGGCTCGTGCTACGGTTGATGATAACAGCTTCCTCTTTTTTATTTTTGATTCAGCTTCAAAAAAATGATCAATCGATTGCGATTTTCTTTTTCCACCATCGCATGTGTTATTATTAATGACGAGGTTATCACTCTCTTCTTGAGGGGAGAGTGGCGAGTAGTAATACTGTTTATAGGTATCTTCATCGAAGCTCAATGATTTCTGCAACAACACAGTTATCATGTTAATATCAATTTGTTAACACTTAATCATAAAAGTTAAAAAAGTTAAAGTTACAGCCTATTAAAGTCCACTGCTGAACATAGGCCTCCTCTCATTTCTGAGAGGGTTTTAGAGCAAGGAAATGTCCGCCGCGCTCCCTCAATGTGTGTTGGCGAACTTCACATGCCTTCGAAATTTTCTCAGACATGCAGGTTTCCTCACGATGTTTTCCTTCACCACCAAGCACGTGGTAATAAGCACTTAAAATTGCTATTAACAATTTAATTGGTGCTGGCGGGGATCGAACCCGGGTCGCGTACTGTGAAATTTACAGCTAGCGCTAACCATCTGAGTTACCACGGCTTAATCATATACATACACAATATTTAAATAAAATAATACACACACATGAAAATAACAGAAAAAAAGTAATTTAGTCAATAGAATAAACACTTACATCCATAGCCTTTGGTGTATTGAAGTAACACAAATGTACTATTGATAGATCCACTGTAGCCAAACGACCGTACACTAACTCGATGACTGCGTTTGTTGGTCTTATATACCACCAGTACGTAAAAATTCTAATCTAAAGTATTTCCGTAATGAGTTGATAATTACTTTATGCGTCAACCAGTTTATCTCACATTTCCGTTGCCTATCTCAACATTTCTTCGTATTGTGTTTTGTTTGGTGATCAATGACTCAAGTACGATTTGTATAACACAAAAATGCAATTTAATATTTAGAAACATATCAGTTTATCTCACATTTCCGTTGCCTATCTCAACATTTCTTCGTATTGTGTTTTGTTTGGTGATCAATGACTCAAGTACGATTTGTATATCACAAAAATGCAATTTAATATGTAGAAATCACTATAATTGACCATTCCTATGTTATTCATTGAGTAGCTAGGTACTGTAATAATCTACTAATAGCAGTAATATCATGGATACACTAGATGTACAACAACATCTGAAAAAGATTCACCCCAGTCTAGAAAATAATGTTTATGCAGCTAATAGACTGCCTATGTATACCCACGTACCAACGTATATAATATGTAATTTGGATACAGATGATAAACCAGGGTCACATTGGGTAGCTTTATATATCGATACGAATGACGTCGGTCAATATTTTGATTCATATGGACGATCACCTGTACGATATCATCTAGAGTTTTTAAAAAGGAATTGTAAAAGATGGAACTGGAATGTTGATAGGATTCAGAATGAGTGGACTTCAGTTTGTGGCGAATATTGCTTAATGTATTTACTATATAAGTTTCAAGGATGTTCAATACATAGTTTTACGAGTATATTTACAAGGAACACATTGTACAACGATATTTTAGTGGATGAGATGTTTCGCTCCTATTTTATAGATAATAATTAATAAGATTTTGTATTTTATAAATAAAAATTGTAACAAAATTATGTAATGTGTTTTATTGATGATTCAGATTAGCGTTGTATAAACAAAGAATTATAATACAATAGCACTGATATAGTCGACGCACACGCTGCAATGAAGGTGATTAAGGAACAATAGAACAATAGAAATAGGAACAATGGGACGCTAATGACGGTGGAGGCCCTTACCGGATATCAATTAGATATTAGCTAATTGATCTACACATCTCCGGAACCGTGCATTCTACACAAAAATGGACCGCGGATTCGTGATCAGAGCATGCCAAAACTTTTTTTTTTTTTTTTTTTTTTTAGGATCGGGCGTCGACGAACGTCGTTGAACCACGTCTGACTCAGGTGGTCTAGAAGTGGTACAACTACACTACTTATCTTTTAAATTCAAGATGCGTAGTAATGCATTATTTTAAATGATTTTACTGCGCACGCGCACATTCGTAAAGCCGATATTACACGGAACAACCAAATTGAAATGATTCCATTGAAAAACATTGAACATTGAACATTGAACGGCTTTACCAATATACACGTAAATAATTTAAATGACGTTCAATGTTCACAGCGCAACGAGATGTCGCGCCAACTCCTACGTGTGGGAATTTCGATATACTGCTACTATTTAATAAATGAGTTGCATAATTAAAAAAAAAGAAAATATTGGCGTTGGTGGCTGCGCCCGTGGATTTTGAGAAGATTAACTAAAAATTCTTATTTGAACCATTTGCGAATGACAGAAAGTGAATATAATGAACTTCTTAAAACCAATTTTCACGCCACTTGAAAACCATTTTCGAAAATCCCTGTGCGCAAGCGAAATAAGTGTTGTGCAGTACGCGGAATGAGTCATCGTTCAATCTTCATGTATGCACGTTTCAGCCGCATTGAACAATGACCAATATTGCTACTATTGCATTTGAAGCGTTCGGTGAATTTAAGCTTTCAATGAGATTGCACAATCGCGTTGAAATATATTTAGATGTCTCAATGCCATTGAAGTAATGAAATTGAAAGCAGTATTGAACCAAAATTGATCCGTGTAATATCGGCTTAAGGGTTAATAGGTAGGTAAATTCGTTGTTGCCCATAAATCACATTCAATTTGGGATAATTTCAAATAAAAGTAGTAGTCTTACTTACTCATATTTTCAAAAACTACAATAATAAAAATATTTATATATTTGAACTTAAGTTTAAAACTTGGCCACTGTTTGAAAAATAACCCTATATAGAAATTTCCTTCAGGGAAAACATTTATTTCTTCGTCGATCTTTTATTTTATTTTTAGATGGTGACGTTAAGACAGAGACAAATATTTTCATTAAAATCGCACCCTTTTTTTAAATGTTTTTATGTGGTAGAGGTATGATACAGCACGATTGGGTCGCTCTTGATTCCCAACTTTCCTGCCGACGCTACCCATATCCCTATACGCTATTTTTGACGATATAAACGTCAATCAACTCTAAGGAATATCTTGAATAAAAATCGTTTTGGATAAATTTCTCATTATTATCAGTCAGAATAAATAAAGAGAACCTATTAACCTCATTTTATGCCGTGAATCTAGTTATAGAGAAAAACAAACGCTTTCTATTGCTTATTGCCCCACAAAAGTGACCAAGCGTTATGTTCTAAGTATTAGGAAATATTATAATTCAAATTAGAAATCTTTTAGTGGAGGTATACAGTAAAGAACAAATAACCGCAAGAATCGTGAGCACAACCTTAATTTCCGCAGTAGTCGATTTATACGTATCTTTGGTGAAGTATGAGGCACGGGGCGAGGATGTTAAACATTCCTTGAGACGTTTGCTCCATTAGTCGATCGATCGTCTTTTACGTGTAGATAGATACTGATATGTCATTTGCTTGCTATATTTATATCCGCGAAATTAACCCCAGTACTGTCACTCCGTGCTCACGGCTCACGGGGCTATTTTTTTTAAAGGCTAGGTGACAAACGAGCACACAGGCCACCTGATGGTAATTGGTTACAGTAACCCATACTTACCTTACTTACTTACTACTTACTTACTACAGTACTTACCCAAACAGACTCCACAGCAGTAAAAGAGTCCTACTACCATTGAAAATGTGAAACCGTATTATATTTTTTTTATTTAATACAGGTTTTATACACAAGAATAGCCGTGGGCCTGTGGCAGAGTTCGCATGGATTGCAGCAGATGGGCCAAATGCAGTGTTGCGGCGCTCAGGTAACGCGTGTAGAAAGAAGTGCGCATGCGCTACTCGTATTCCCTGTTCAAGATAATACGGCAACCCTACAACCAAACATTTATTTCTACGCCGTATATGCCCCAACACACCTTCATAGGCATAGCGGGGTTTAAGGCATGACTGTACTTCTTCCAATAATATAATGCCTGATTTATGGAAATATTTTTTTAATTTATTATTTTAACATAAATAGTGATATAAGTTTTACATATACGAGTATCATATATGCAATATTGATAATATATTACATTTTGTGCACACAATGCGTATTGCCATATTTCGTTTTAAAAGTGCAACAGTAGTATTTTTTCCTATATCGTGGAGGTGGTTAACATACATAAATTGCATAAGGACATACATCTAGACCCGAAATGATTATTTTAAGGCTTACAAACACTTTCTACGTGCGGAATTCTAACCCGCAGCTCTGCAGCGCCAAGACCAAATGCTTAGCCACTGCGCTACAGTACAGTCATCAAAATCATTTTGATAGTACCAAAATATTGAGATAAAACCTTAAGAAACATACTACGAGTATCACAGTGTCTAGTGTGTAGTGTCATCTAAAAATTTATTTCAAAACAGTTGCGCAACGGACCGATCCTAGTCTTTTATGCGGGTCCATGGGGCCAGACTCGCTAAGCCTACAGAGTGGCCACCTCGGGCTAGCCATGTGGGTTTTCTCTTAGTACCCCTGTATCTTAGTCTACCTTAATTTAACCGCATTCATGTTATTTCGGGCACGATCGAATAAGAACGAGTAAGCGCCTCAGTACTTGTAGCGTCGAGAATAAACAATCTTAAGCTTTTATTTATTAAGTATATATGCGGAAATTACTGGGCTTTGCAGTTTGTTGAATAGGCAACTCCTTTTCCCTAAACTAAATGAGGTGACCTAATGAGACATGTAATAATAATATCGCATAAGCCGATTTCGTCTACGGCGTCTATAGCTTCTGCTTCTCAATCATTAGAGCTTCGGTGACATGCTCTGATGTAGTTGATGTAGACAATTTTTCCAGTAAATATAGGCATGCAATGCAAACGGCATCTTAATATGTATATGTTAAGATGCCGTTTGTATAATTACAAACTCTATGTCAATTGGTAGTCTGCTCTTGATTTCTTCGCGTCCGGCATCCAATTCACTTCTCTGTTTATTCTCGAACGCGTGTATGGACCGTTTAACTACATGCTATACGGTGCGATTCCCAGGCAGTAATTCCCCACGAGAGGCAATCTTGCATTTCTTCATATTATGCCTTTTCTGAACATCCTTGATTCTAAGAAACTGGCCACCGCTCCTACTCTTACCGTTTTGGAGTTCAGAATAGAAAATGCGCTACGTCATTCTTTCGTTAAGCATTTATAACAGGTGTCGGACCACCGTAAATCAGTATTCCTGACGCGGTCTGACCACTCATGCTCATAAATCATCTCATAATATCACGACGGCATCTTATTTGAAACCTAATGATTTCTTATATTTACGCGAACACTGCACATTTAAATAAAACTAATGTTACGGATTTTTTCGCGTATATTAACTTATTTTATATTCCCGACGTTTTGAGCACGTTCCAGTACCCACGGTCACGGGGGGGACTGAGGTGCATAACATCCCAATGTCATAGTTAACCACGGCTACCACCAGATTAAAAATAACACATAGCTGATGTGAAGAATCGACACATACAGGATTGCCCCCGTCACTACATTAGATTTGATAGACCACAAATCCTCGCTAAAGAACACCGATTCCTTCCAAGGTTGATTCACGAGGCTATTGAAATCAAAAAACATCCTAATTTCAATAGAGAAGATGGCTGGGTGCTACCATCTACTTGGGATCCCATAATTAATAAAATTAAATCCCAACCCAAGCAACCCAACCCAACTTACAGTATCTTGAAGTCTTACAGTTGTATGTAAGACTTCAAGATACTGTAAGTTCATACTGCGTAGATCGGAACAAAAATTAGTAGATCGGAACAATAATTAATAATTTTTGTTCTAATTTTTGTTCCGATCTACGCAGTATACATTGAAACTAAATATATCTGCTTTGTTATGGTACTATCATAGAGTGTAGGTAAAGAAAATGAAGTATTACTGCTTGTCATATTATTAACACACACTGTCCCTAAAGAACCTGGCATTGAGCGCTGATATTCATTTTGATATTTTAATAAGGAGTCAAAACGTTCCTCGTTATATTTGCATGACTTTACCAGATTATCCATGGCCACAAGAACACATACGTTCTTTTATCTCATTCCCTGCAGATTTATATTTATTTGACATAATTTGTAATGAGGTTTGAAGTGATAAAATTTCTGAATTAAGACACTATTTCAGTCTCATAACAATTTTTCATGTTTACAGAAATATTTATCTTGTTTTCATCTATTAATGTTTTTCTTTATGTGATCCACTTAGTTGTTGCACGACATGCCAATCCGAAGACAAATATGCGTGCATATCTATATACATTGAAACTGAATAAAAGGTTCCACCCCTAAGGGTGGCAAAACTATGGAATGAAATATTTTTAATGTAAATTTTTAGATAATATTGAGATTGCTCACTCAACTCCACTGAAAAGGTTTACAATATAAACTTTTAAAAGCTCCTAAAAACTTCTTTTTAGTTCTTTGATGTCGACTTTTACTTTTTGTTAACAGTTTATTTTTGGGAAGTTCAATAATATTTTTAAAGATTTACAGCTCATGTTTTCTCTTTCAGCAGAGGAATATAACAGCGGGTTCAAGCAAAAACGATAGCACGAAAAAATCAGCTCCAAATCAAGAGACGCGTAATTGTTATCACCTTAGCCACCTGTCGCAGAATGTGTTACGGGCGCGCCGTGGTGTCGTCCGTATGCTCATAGTCGTCGTGCTAGCATTCGCTGTCTGCAATCTACCATTCCATGCGCGTAAAATGTGGCAGTATTGGTCCAGCGGTTACGAAGGAACCAGTGATTTCAGTGCATTATTTACGCCTCTTACATTTCTCATTACCTACTTCAACTCTGGAATTAATCCCCTGTTGTATGCCTTCTTATCGAAGAACTTCAGAAAAGGAATGAGGGAGCTGTTATTCTGCAACTTTCATGGGAAAAGAAAAAGCGGAAATTTGATATTGCTGAATCGAGTCGGTATGGGGCTACGGCGTAGCTCTACGCGTTCCACCCGTGCCAATTGTAGCACTGTCACTATGACTCCGAATGCGGAATCATGAGATTTGCGACGGCAGCGGTTCATTTATAAAGTGGAAAATATAGACATTTCTTGACTAACGGAAAGCACGGACGTAGCTACCGACAGTAGTGGTCTTTATACTACGTCTGTCATTTATAAAAGGGACCTCTATGATTAAATTCACGAGTTGTAATGTAAAAGAAAATGCATGCGAGTTGTAAAGTATAAGTGGCACAATCGTCAAATATAAGTATACTCTAACAAAAGTTATAGCAGTAGTACGAGTATAATAGGAAAATCTTGTTACAAATTAGGTAGGTAAGAGATTAAAATAATATTGTTTTCACTGGCTTGTAATTAAATCAGGTGCAAAATATTTATATAATACATCAAATATGCTTATAAATTAATATAATTAATAGAATCAGGCGTTACTTTGCGGAAATCCATTATATAAAAGCTTTTAATATTTGCGAAGTAAATTTTTCTAAAAGCTTTTATATAAATTAATAAGTAAATTCATTTTCTACATTAAATTTTGTTACATATTTTTATAAAAAATATATAAAAAGTTAACTTGTTTAGGCAAATAACCGGGCAGGTTATGCTTGGAATTTTTACTTTTGTATGCAAGGAAGTGTGAACTTGTAACTTAACAGGCTGAAGAGGATGCGGGATGTCCAGTTTAAAGGTCAATTCAATAATAACTATAAAATAACGAGAAACAGATGGACCACGTGTTAAAAGTACTTGAAAATTATAAATTGAAAAGTGTTTATTTGAAAACAATATTTTTTTTGTTGAGTCATAATGTATGGAAGTAAGCTAGGAAACAATGACTTCTACGCCTCGAGCCTTGACTTTCAATTCAAACCAAAGACAACATTTGTTAATTCATAAATAGTGTTCATGTGCTGTTATTTAGGTAGATAGATAAGTATATATATATTCTATCTGGGCGGCAAAAAAGATGAAAAAAGAGATGCGCTTTGCTTATACGACCAAGCTAGACAGCCGAGAGTGACAAATGTAGCTCGGAAACACATTGACACACACATACTCTATTTCCTTCTCCAAAAGTAGTTCGACGTTTTTTTTTTCGAAAATTTGTGGTCTTATGTTTATTTTGTATGTTTCTCTTTTATTTCTTAAGTTTGTTAAATTTGTTCACTGGATGTCTGATAACGGCGGTATACGAGTAGCGAGGCATTATTGGTATAAGAAAATTTGTGGTCATATGTTTATTTTGTATGTTTTTCTTTTATTTCTTAAATTTGTTAAACTTGTTCACTGGATGTCTGATAACGGCGGCATACGAGTAGTGAGGCATTATTGGTAATGTCAGGTTAAAAAAACACAGAAACATAGCAAAGGTATATAGATTATATCGTAAAGATATAATCTATATACTTTTTGACGGCTCCGTGGCGCAGTGGCTTAGCAATGAGTTGCTGCGCTGGGGGGCGCGGGTTCGAATCCTGCACGGAACAAGTATTTGTATGGCCTACAAATGATTGTTCCGGGTCTGGATGTTTGTCCTTGTGAAATTTGTGTTTGTAAACTGCCTCCACGATACAGGAGAAAATCCTAGTGTGGGGGTAACGTTTTTTTTAAAAAATAAATAAATAAATAAATAAAGAAATATTTGCTCTTGTGGATAGTGATCCAGGGGAAAAACTAAGTTTGTATGGAGTAATCACCGCCCGGATATCCTCTTATGTCCTCTATGGAGTAAACTCTTAGGTCCTCTTTTACTATGGTTGTACATGAGTTACATCGGCTTATACTTACTTGTAGGATATAATGAATGGGTGCCTCTGTGTTTGCACGTACGCTTGTGATAATTTATATAATATGTTATGCACATTTAACAGTATTCGAAAATAATTATTATAGCAGTTGTTTTAGTGAAATTGGGACAGAAGCACGTCATTACGACATAACAAATGGTTGGCTTAGCATATTATACAAAGTATTCTGTGGACTTGGCCACGCCACAGTCTAGTTAAAAAAAAGTTAAAGTTACAGCCTAAATATACGTCCCACTGTGGGCACAGGCCTCGTCTCATTTCTGAGAGGGTTTTAGGGCAAGGAAAGATCCGCCGCGCTGCCCCAATGTGTGTTGGCGAACTTCACATGTCTTCTATATATATATTTTCTTATTTGTCAAACATGCAGGTTTCCTCACGATCTTTTCCTTCACCAAAGAGCACGTGGTAAATCAGTACTTAAAATTGCAATTAACAATTTCATTGGTGCCGGCGGGGATCGAACCCGGGTTTCTGGCGTACTGTGAAACTTACAGCGAGTGCCAACCATCTGAGCTACCACGGCTCTACCACATTCTAGTGAATAAAATTTATTAGGCTGTGGCCTTGCTGATGAAGTATAGCTTCCAACACTAGCGTGTATGTAAGTATATAAATATTTTTATACCATTACAGATCAGTGAGTATTTACTTACTAAACTAATCAAGAATTACCTCATTTAAAATAAATTTAATTATGAAACTAATTGGGAAAAATTACGATTTAAGCAAATATGTAAATGTATTTTTAAACTGTTTATGTAATGTTTACGGTATAATTAATAAAGTTTAACAATAATTAAGTAAAACAGACTAAGAGGGCTTGTAAAATTAATTAATTCAGGAGTTTTTAAATTATATTAGCAAGGCATGTAAGAACGTTAATTAGATAATAAAAATACAACTTTTATTACGTCTAAAAGTTAACATATATATAGGTCCCACTGATGGGCACAGACCTCTTATTTACTATTACGTATATTTAACATTTCACATTTCACTAAAAGAAAGAATGTAACAAATTATATATAAAATCAATAGAGAACCTTGTACATTTTAACTGTTTTGAGGAATTGATATTGAACTTGGCACCTGATCAGGTGTCAACTGTTTTATCGGCGAAACCAACAAACTCGACCGTCGTTGGTACTGATTTTGGCTCCATTTTCAAATTATTTTTGATAAATAACTTACCCTTATTAAGTTTCTTATGGTTCCTTTTATATCCCGGTAAGTTAAAGACAAATTTAATTGATTATATGTTAATGTTAACCAATAATCAATGTCGACTTCAGTAGTCTTAAGCAGTCTTGCTCTTTTTTATTCTAACCAATTACGTCTTATAATAAAAGATTTGATAAAATTAATTTGAATATTAAATATATACAGAGGTTGTTACATTTATATAAATTAATACATTCTTTCTAAAAAAAACATTTTACTTTGCCCCTTTTTAAGTAAACTTATAAAAACAAAACAAAGCTTGAGTTTAAAAGTACAGGGATGTCGTAATGCATAGCAAAAAAAATATTTCCATGATACCAACCATGATAAGTTAGTATATCTGGATAGATATATTATCACAGCGTGATGGAGAACATCACGCTGTGATAATATATCTATTTTCAGTTTTCATTAAGTACGAATAATCTATTCTTTAAACTATTTTATTATACATAAGTAACGCGTAATTTGTAATGTTTATTGCTTATGATATAATTATAATAATAAAAACAATAAAATGAACATAGTATAAAATGTTGTTTGTAAAACCTAATAATACAAATTATGTTAATCTCAATGGTATATGATTGTATTAACGCTATAGTGCGTTATACTTTTTATAACAAAAATATTTTTTAACTGTTTAAAAACAGTAATTATTGTAAATAACATATCAATAAATGATTTAAGATTTCATATTTGTCGTTTTAATTATTAAATATGCACCTAAATTTTATAATACTTCATTACAACACTTCACAAGTCCACTGCTGAACATAGGCCTCTCCCAAGGAATGCCACAAAATACGGTCCTGAGCCACCTGCATCCATCGACATCCTGCATGTCTTACCAGGTCGTCACTCCATCTAGTGGGGGGTCGCCCTACACTTCGCCTACCGGTACGAGGCTGCCACTCGAGAACCTTTTTTCCCCATCGGTTGTCGGTTCTTCGAACTATATGGCCTGCCCATTGCTACTTCAGCTTACTAATCCGTTGGACTATGTCGGTTACTCTGGTTCTATTGCGGATGTCCTCATTTCTAAGTTAAGAGAAACCCGGAGCATAGCCCTCTACATAGCTCGCCTAGCGACCTTAAGCGTCCTCATACGGCCAGTGAAGGACCACGTCTCAGATTCATAGTTATCACAGGCAACACGCACTGGTTGTACAATCTCGTTTTAAAGTTTTGAGGTATACTTGACGAGAAGATGTGTCGTAATTTCCCGAACGCTGCCCAGCTGAGCTAAATCCGTCGATTGACCTCTCGGCCGAAGTTGGACTTACCTAGTCGAACTATTTATTCCAGGTAAACACACTCGTCAACAACTTCGATCTTAGTGCTCCCAACAACTACCGGCATAGGTCTGACTTGGACATTAAACATGCTCTTTGTTTTGTCCATGTTCATCTTAAGACTTATCCTGCTGAACATATCTATCCATTGGGAGACACTATCAGAGGTCATTAGACCATAGTGCTTAGGTTCTCCAGTGATTCTGTCATAAGGACTATATCGTCGGCAAATCAAAGGTGCAGCGGTGAAGAGTTTCGGAGATATAACGTCACCCTGTCTTACACTTCTCTGCAGTTGGATAGGATTCGTACTCTGGTTCTGTACTCGGATAGCCATCGTAGTCCTATTGTACAAACACTTCAGCACTTCGATATACCGACAGGCTTGGCACCGCTGACGGGACTGAAGCACCACCCAAAATATCACGGAATCAAAGGCTTTCTCATAGGGCACATACGCGAGACAAAGTGGCAGATTGTACTCTTCGGTCTTCTGTACAATTTGCAGAAGGATATGTATGTGGACTATGATGCTAAAGCATTTTCGGAAAAAAAGTCGTCGAGTCTGTGTGCGAGACAATTCGTAACGACTTTCGAAAACAGCTCGTAGACGCGGCTCAGACGGGAAATTGGTTTTATTAAATTGGTTAAATTATTCTTCAAGAGAGCGTTGTCGCCTTTCTTGAAGAACAAGACCACCGCACTTCTGCTCC